GTGTTCTGGAATACCCAGTCTTTACAATGTTATTCATACTTTAGCATGATCCACACAGTTGAAAGCACAAGTAAACATCCACATTTTGTAATGAGTCACATAGTAACTAAAGTACAAGTAAACATCTTTTTGGTATTCTCTGCTTTCAGTCAAGGTTCATCTGACTTCAGCAATCATACCCCTTGTTCCATGTCCTCTTCTGAACCCAGCTTGAGTTTTGGCAGTTCTGCTAATGTACCATTAAGCCATTTAAAAATTATCTTCAACAAAATTTTACTTGTATCTGATATTACTGATATTGTTTGATGATTTCCACATTCCACGGGGTCATGTCTTTTGGATCTCTTCCAATTAGTTGGCCAAGTAACTGTCTTCCAGTGCTGTATCAGTTTGTTGAAAGATTTCAATTTGTATTCCGTCAATTTGTATTCAATTTGCTTATACATACACACAGTCCTGCAATAACAGTGATGTATGGGTTGTTGTTGCTAAGCATCATAGAGTCCCATTGAGCCTCATAGCAACCCTGTATAGGGTTTCTGAGGAGTGGCTGGTGGGTTGGAACCATCAACCTTGCAGTTATTGGCTGTCCAGTGCTTATCACACAGTGCCACACCAAGAGTCTGATGATCTATGAGTAGATACAAGGATAGACACACAGGCTGAATGGGTGTAGGAGGGAGATTGGGAGTATACCCACAGCTATAAAAAAGGCTTGACAGTGTATATTTGTGCTTGGGTATTTACCTTTACTGCAAATATGTCCATGAATATGCTGAAGCAGTGTTGTTGTTGTTAGGTGCCATCAAGTCCAACTCCGTAAGCCTTTGCAAAGCAGAAAGAAACTCTGTCCTGTCCTGCACCATCCTCATAATAGTTGTTATGTTTGAACCCATTATTGTTGCCACTGTGTCAATCCATCTGGTTGGGAGGTCTTCCTCTTTTCCCTTAACCCTCCGCTTTACCAAGCATGATGTCCTTTTCCAGGGAATGGTCCCTCCTGACAATATGTCCAAAGTCTGAGATATGAAGTCTCACTATTCTCACTTCTAAGGAACCTTCTGACTGTACTTCTAAGACAGACTTGTTTGTTCTTCTGGTAGTTCATGGGGCTTTCAATATTCTTCACCAACAGTATATAATTCAAATGCATCAATTCTTCTACAGTCTTCCTTATTCATCGTACAACTTTCACAAGTATATGAGGCAACAAAATATACCATAGCTTGGTTCAGGTACACCTTAGTCCTCAAAGTGACATCTTTGTGCAGCAGAATTGCTTAATGCAATAATATGTCCTTTCATTTTTAAACTGCTGCTTCCATGAGCATTGATTGTGAATCCAGGCAAAATGAAGTGTTTAACAACTTTAATCTGTTCTCTGTTTATCATGATATTTGCTTATTGGACCAGTTTTGAGGATTTTCATTTTCTTTACACTGAGGTGCAATCCATATGAAGAAATGCTCAGGGTCATTAGCCATTAGAGACACTGAAAGCTATAGTTTTTGATCTTCACAACTGTTTCAAGTCCTTTTTACTTCCAGCAAGCAAGGTTGTGTCATCTGCATATCAAAGGTTGTTAATGAGTCTTCCTCCAATCCTGAAGCCACATTTTTCTTCTAATAACCCACCTTCTCGGATTATTTGCTCAGCACACAGACTGAACATGTGTGGTGAAAGGACTAATTCTAGGGCATACTTTTCCTGATTTTAAATCACTCAATATCCCCTTGTTCTCATTGAAGGATTGTTTGAAGTTCTATCTACAGGTTCTTCATGAGCACAGTGAAGTGTTCTGGAATATCATTCTTCACAATGTTTTCCATAGTTTATTGTCCACACAGTTGAAAGTCTTTGTGCAGTTAATGAAGCACAAGTAAACATCTTTCTGTTATTCTCTGCTTTCAGACAAGATCCATCTGACATCAGCTATGATCTCCCTTGCTCCATGTCCTCTTCTGAATCAACTTTGAATTTCTGGCAGCTCCCTGTGGATGTACTGCTGCAATTGTTTTTGAATAATCTTCAGCAAAATAATATTATTTGATGATTCCCATGCAAATATGGATTTCTTCCAATTGAATTACCAGGTAACTATCTTCCAAATTTCTTGGCATACATGAGTGAGTGCTTCCAGTGTTACATCAGTTTATTGAAAACTTTCCATTTGTATTCTATCAGTTCCTGGAGTCCTGTGTATGGCCAATGCCTTCAGCAGCTTGGACTTCTTCCTTCTATACCATTGGTCCTTGATCATATGCTATGACCTGAACATTGACCATTTCTTTTCAATACAGAGATTCTGTGTATTCCTTTCATCTTCTTTTGATGCTTTCTGCATCATTCAATATTTTGACCATTGAATCTTGTGGTGAAGCATACAGGGTGCAAAGTTATGAAAAGTTCTTAGACATTACCAGACACCTTGAGGGAATAAATCGCTGGGCCTGGGGACTCAGCATCATAGTATCGGGGTTTTCATGAATATAATAAAATAGTCCACAAAGAAAATAGTCCACAAAGAAAATGTTCTATATCCTGCTTTGATAACTGGCACTTTGAAAGCTCAAGTATTGGTCTCTCCCTGTCTAGAGGAAAGAAGAGTGAGGAAGTAGGATAAGTAATGTGACATTGACGGGGTGGCAGTCATTGAGATGAAAGGAAGTTTGTGGTTTTTTAACGTAAAACTGAGCATTGGCTCTGTAAACCCTCACTCAATTTATAGGAAAAAAAAATTGATCCTATGTATGAGTTAAGGAGCTCTGGTAACATAGTGGTTACAAGTGGTTACAGGCTGCTAAACTCAAGGTCAGCAGTTCGAAACTATCAGCTGTTCCAAGGGAGAAAGATGAGGCTTTCTGCTCCCCTAACGATTTACAGCCTCGGAAACCCTATGCAGGGTCGCTATGAGTCGGAACCGACTCCATGGCACATAACCACCACCATATATGAGTTGGTACTGACTCGATGGTACCTAGTAACAACAACAACAACATAATATATATCAAAGTAGCTGTAGAATGTGATATTCTTTCCTTTCATTTCATCTGTAAAACGTGAAATTAGAACAGTGGGGCGGAGCTTCTGTCGTCAATTATTCTTGGAATTTGGTGGGAAAAGGAAAGAATTTGGAATCAGTCCCCCTGGGTTCTACCCTAGTTTCCCCACTTAACAGCTATTTCCTTCTCCCTGGAAGGGAGGCAGTGCTGTCTACTTGGCCAACATGCTGAGTTGTTCTAAGGCCTCAGTGCGAAGTATGGGACAGACAGGTACAAATTACTGGGACCAGAGTACTGCGGACTGAGCAATGCAGTTAAAGAAAGCCAGCCCTTCTCAGCAGAAAGACAATTTGGCGAATAGAAAGGCAGTCTCTTCGCCCCCAGTCTTTTTAATCCGTTTCAGTTTGGGGTAAGAGCTAGGACAGGACGGGTAGGGAGAAGTAAGGAAATTGGTTGCAGGAACCCCCTTGTCGTTTACAATTTGTTCCTTCTTTATTTTGTGCGGGGCACTGGTTTAGGCCCCGGGAGACACAAAGAAGCAACAACCCAGAATGAGGTCTCATGGAGCTCTCTGTGTAGACGGGGAACAGTGAGGTCGTCCTTCCCTAGGCGGAAGGACCCCCGAGAGGCCGCCGCCACCGTTACCGCCACCATCACCGCCTGTCTGTCCGCAGCCTAGGCGGGGCCGTCCTGCCACCCCACCCCACGCTGGGAAGCCACCAGTTTGGGACGCATCCCCATGGCAACCGGGGGCCCAGAGCGGTCCGCCGGAATACAGTGCGGGAGAGGCTTTAACTGCCTTAGCGGCAGCGCGCGGAACGGCCAGGAGGCCCCGGCGTCTCTGCTCCCGGAGCTTCAAACCTCTGGGACCTCGCAGATAACCCGGCCCCAGGTCTCCTCGACCTCCCTCGCCTCGCCCCCTGACCTTCGCCCCTCGACAGGAACGCACCACCCTAGAGGTACGGGCGGGACCCCAACAGGCCAGCTGCTCCGGGTTCTGGGCCCGGCCTCGAAGTGGGTGGAACGACAGAGGAATGCAAGAGCAGTCTTTGCAGACTCTAGAGCAGGGATTTTCCCTGAGTTAGAAAGTCAAAGTCTAGGCTCTAGTTGTGTGGCCTTGGACAAGTCACTTACTCGTTTGTCCGTGCCTCAGTTTCCCCGACGTTAAAGAGAGGGATTTGAGACCTACAAAATCATTTATACATCCCTTCATCCTGGTCAAGTTTTCTGTTCACCATTTCTGCTACTGCCTCCTCCCGTCTACTTAGAACTCCTAGATAACCTTCAGATTCCTTTGATTTGGGGCTAGCCTGAGTGAGCATGGGAGCCTTATCCTACCAGTTCCACTGCTCTTTGATTGATTTTTAATCCATGATTTGGAGGAGTTGAAGTTCCTTTTCAATACTTTGTCCTGGTATCCGCGTAGATAATTTTTTCACTAAAATTTTGATGCTGGAAAAAGTATTCTTTTACCTTAGGCAAGCTCTAACAATGTTATTTTGCCAACAGGATTATCCCAATGCCCATGGAACCACTGAAGAATTGTAAGATTTCTAGCTTTTGGCAATTATTAACCTTTTTGTCCTAAATTTCATACTAGATTCATTCTAGCAAAACTCAGAAAGGTCCAAGTTTACTCTAGTAAAGGCAAATTAGTCTCATGAAAAGAAAATGTGAAAATATCTAACTGGAACGCCTCTTGATTAAGAATTCTGTTTTACTCCTTCTCATGTACTGAACATAGTACCTGGTGCCCAGTTTTGCTCAATAAATAGTAAAAGAGCGCTCAGTTTAGTCAGTAACACACATTTTAACTCATCACTAGACTAATGCCATCATGTCCCCCCAAAAAGTTTACCTTTCAACATTTTGTGGAATAAAGAGCTACTTCATTCAGAAAAAAACTGCTACTGAATGGTTTGCCAATGTCAGAGCTTTCATATTTTACAGGTTAATAAATGTAAACATTTTAATTTCTAGATTTTGTTTTTCTCCTAACAGATTAAAAATAAAGAGCCATAAACCAGATTCAACAGTTTCTCAACATGGAGAACCAGGCCCAAAATACAATGGGGTAAGTGCTGAGAACTTTATGTTTAGTAAATAATGCTTAACTATGCCAAAAACCTTCCTGATGATAAATGGGTTTTGAAAATTTTTGTTAATAGAAAGATGTACCAGTTATTTTTGGTAAAGGTAGGGAGAAATTTCCGTTGGTTATAAATCAAGAGTCTATACTTTGAGTCCAGTTTTGACTCTGTGCATCAGCATTTCAAAGCCACCATTTTCTAACATTTAGTGACTTGGTTCAGTGTCTTTGGGTGATGGATACCTGTGATGCCCAGAGGACTGACACTTTGGATCTCACAGTAGAGCCCCTCCTGGCCAGTTTGCTCCTTTTTTTTTTCCGCACCAAGTATCCCAAACTTAGCTCTACTCTTGCCCTTTAAGTCCCTAAATAGATCCAACTCCACAAAACATAAACAAGGATGGATATTAAACCAGAAATTTCATGGAGAGTTTAGGAATAGAATTTGTGTAGTAATTGCCATCATAGAAATGGAATCTAATCCGTTTCTATAAATATTTGTCCCTCCTTATTCCTCGCCACCAGCACCATGAAGTTTTGTCTTCCTAGTGTTTCATTAGGTTGACATTGGCACAGTGGTTGACATCTGAGCCAGGGATGGAGGTAGTGAGGACGTTTCTGCAGGGCCTAGTCTTGATTTTGATTACCTTGGCACTTATCAACCACTTTCAGTGATTCGGCTCAGACTTACTTTTACATCATGCATGAGGAAAGCTGCACATGTCCACATAATAATAGCATCACTTTTAGCTCCTACTGCATACACCAGGGACCTCTGATGTGGCACTGTGGATAAATGCACTGGTCTGCAAAGTCGATTTGAATTACAATATGTGCAGTTCAAACTCACCAGCTACTCCCCAGAAACCCTATATAGGGTCTCTACAGTTGGAACTGACTCGATGGCATTTAACAACAACAATTGCATAACCTTCTTCACAATAGCCCTAATCTAATCACTGCCATCAAGTTAATTTCAACCCATAGTGACCCTATAGGACAAAGTAGAACTGCTTCCTAGAGTTTCCATAAATACTTACAGAAACAAACGGCTTCATTTTTCTCCCATGGATTAGCTGGTGGGTTTGACCACTGTCCTTCTGGTTAATACCTCAATGCTTAACCCACAGCACCCTCATGGCTCCTTATAACATCCCTACTAGGTATTTTCATTTCATAACTAAAAAACTAAGTATATTATTTGTGTTGTTATTGTGTGCTGTGTAGTCAGTTCTGACTCATAATGACCTTGTACAGGGTTTCCAAGGCTGTAAATCTTTACGGGAACAGAAAGCCTCATCTTTCTCCCACGTAACAGCTGGTAGTTTCGAACTGCTGACCTTCAGGTTCACAGCCCAATTTGTAACCACTACGCTACCAGAACGTATTTGTGTTCCAATATAAATGATGCCCAGTCCTGCATCACCCTTACAATCATTGTTATGCTTGAGCCCAGTGCTGCTGCCACTGTGCCAATTCGTCTCATTGGGGGTTTTCCTCTTTTCACTGACCCTCCACTTTACCTAGCACAATGTCCTTCTCCAGGTACTGGTCCCTCCTGATAATAGTCTTGCCATACTGACTTCTAAGAAGCATTTTGACTGTACTTCTTCCAACACAGATTTGTTTGTTTTTCTAACAGTCTATGGTACTTTTAATAGTCCTTTTCAACACCATAATTCAAATGCATTAATTCTTTGTATACTGTCTTCCTTATTCATTGTACAACTTTCACATGCATATGAAGCTATTAAAAATATGGCTTAGGTGGTCAGGTGCATCTTAGTCTTCAAACTGACATCTTTGTTCTTGAACACTTGAAAGAGGTTGTATGCAACAAGACCTAATGGAGATCAAAGTCCATAGCATTCAGTATATATTGAACCTTGATGTAAAGAAAACAACAGTCCTCACTACTGAACCAATGGGACATATTTGATATACCACATGCAAGTAAAATTTTACTAACGGTAATACAGAAACGGCTGCAAGCATACATTGACAGAGAACTTCCAGAGGCTCAAGCCAAATTCAGAAGAGGCCGTGGAACGAGGGATGTAATTGCTGAAGTCCGATGGATCTTGGCTGAAAGCAGAGGATATCAGAAATATGTTTACCTGTGCTTTATTGACTACGCAAAGGCTTTTGATTGTGTGGATCGTGACAAGCTATGGATAACATTGCGAAGTATGAGTATTCCTGAACACTTAATTTTGCTCATGAGGAATCTGTATATGGACCAAGAGGCAGCTGTTCAAACAGAACATGGAAACACTGAATGTTTTAAAATTAAGAAAGGTGTGCGACAAAGTTGTATTCTTTCACCATACTTATTCAACCTGTATGCTGAGCAAATAATACAAGAAGCTGGGTTCTATGAAGACAAACGTGGCATCAGGATTGGAGGAAGACTCATTAACAACCTACGATATGCAGATGATACAACCTTGCTTGCTGAAAGTGAAGAGGACTTAAAACATTTACTGATGAAGATCAAAGAGCACAGCCTTCAGTATAGGTTACATCTCAACGTAAAGAAAACAAATATCCTCACCACTGGACCAATCAATAAACAACATTCTTTTCAATGGAGAAAAAAGATTGAAGTTGTCAAGGACTTCATTCTTCTTGGATCAACTATCAACACTTATGGAAGCAGCAGTCAAGACATTAAACAATATATTGCATTAGGCAAATCTGCTGCACAAGACCTTTTTAAAGTGTTGAAGAGCAAAGATGTCAGCTTGAGGACTAAGGTGTGCTTGACCCAACTCATGGTATTTTCAATATCCTCATATGCACGTGAAAGCTGGACAGTGAAAAAGGAAGACCATAGAAAAATTGATGCATTTGAGTTATGGTGTTGGAGGAGAATATTGAAAGTGCCATGGGCTGCCAAAAGAGCCAACAGATCTGTGTTGGAGGAAGTGCAGCCAGAGTGCTCCTTGGAGACCAGGATCTCCAAACTTCATACTTTGGACATATTGTCAGGAGGGACGAGTCACTAGAAAAGAATATGATGTTTGGTAAAGTGGAGGGTCACAGAAAAAGAGGAAGACCCCCAATGAGATGGATTGGCCAAGTAGCAGCATTGATGGACTCAAGCATGGCAACAATAGTGAGGCCCAGGATCGGGCAGTGTTTTGTTCTCCTGTGCACAGGGTCACTATAAGTCAGTGCCGACTCGATGGTACCTAACAACAACAACTGGACCAATATATCACATCATGGCATCATTTGATTTCTTGACATCAATATGTCATTTGACATCAGTACATTGTTTGATTTCTTGATTGCTGCTTCTGTGAGTACTGATAGTGGATCCAAACAAAATGAAGTCTGTAACAACTTCAATCATTTCTTGATTTATCGTGGTGTTATTTATTGGTCCAGTGGTGAGGATCTTTGTTTTCTTTACATTGAGATGAAATCCATACTGAATACTCTGGTCTTTGGTCTCCATCAGTAAGTATTTTAAGTCCTCTTTACTTTCAGCAATCAAGGCGGTATCGTCTATATATCACACAGGTTGTTAATGTGTCTTCCTCCAGTCCTGTTGCCATGTTCTTCTTCATGTAGTCCAGCTTCTCAGATTATTTGCTCAATGTACAGATTGAATAAATATGGTGAAAGAATACAACCCTGGTGCACATCTTTCCTGATTTTAAATCATTTAGTGTCCTGTTGTTTTGTTCAAATGACTGCCTCTTGGTATATGTATGTACAGGTTCACAATTAAATAGCATATAGTTCAATTGGGAAGTCTTTGCCATTAAAAAGAGGGTTTTCTGGTCTTTAATGTATTACTGTTTGACCCTTTATGCTTTCTTAACTTTTGTTAGTATGATCTAGTTTCCTTTATCCTCTTTTTCTTGTGGAAGTTCTACATATTATTTTCTAAGTTGTTAATTTACTTTATATAAACTTTATATGTATTTTCTTTTGTTGACTTGAATTAGTAAGTGTAACTTTGACCTCTGTTGACCCTAGTAAGACTTAACCTTTAATAATGCTTTGGCCACTCACCCTTTTATCCCACCTCCAATGTTCTATTCAAATATTCTGAATTTCTAGTTCATGATTGCTATTAAATTTATATTGGTGGTAGTGGTGGTTGTGTGCCATGGAGTTGATTTTGACTCATTGAGACCTTGTATAAGCTTTCCAAGGCTTTAAATTTTTATGGGAACAGAAACCCTCATCTTTCTCACGTGAAGGGACTGGCTGATTTGAACAGTTGATCTTCTAGTTACCAGCCCAATTCATAACCCACTACACTAATTTTATATTAGGGCCACTTTTATTTAAGACTCCTTTTTAAAAAAAAAAAATTAACAACTATTAAGTTTCATGGATTACATTGCTCATTATTGTTATTTTATACAAAATCCTGATTTAAAAAGTCTGATTCACTTTTTATTTGATTTAAGGTATGTTGCTGTAGGATAATGCACTGAACTACACGGTCAGTTTGAACTGCAAGGTTGGTGGTTCAAACTTACCAACCACTTCTTGGAAACCCTGTACAGGGTCAGTATGAGTTGAAACTGACTTGATGACACTTGACAACAACAAGTTCTTTCTTAAATAATCGTTTTATGAAAATAAACATGGGTGATATATTTATCTTAAGGGTCCAAAATACCTTTATTTCTGCTCTAATGCAGGAACCTCTGTAATACTACATCAAGTTTTTGAAGCATTGATTCCCACAAATGAGAAATTCTTACCTACCACAGTCTCTATTTCAGGCGCCTTTTTTTTTTCTTTAAATATTTGGAGTTCTATAAGATTGTCTTTTTTGTTGTTGTTTTTTCCTAGAATTTGTAACCTTACCAGGATAACCTTGTTAAGTATGGATCATTTTCCAATAATGCCACCTAGCACTTGCTGAGCATTTTTATGTTAACGATTCAAATCTCTAAAAAGCAGTGAAATTATCTATTTCTTTGATTAATTTTATTATTTACTGTGATGTGCTATAG